TTTGGTACTGCAGATTCAACCCAGGGCCTTCGTGCTGAGCTATATCCCCAGGGGATGCAACCTCTCTTCCCCTCCCCGCTTTTTTTTTTAATTTTGAGAAGGAGTCTTGTTAAATTGCTAAGCTGCTCAGGCTGGGCTTGAATTTGCAATCCTCCTGCCTCAGCCCCTGGAGTGCTAGGGTTACAGGTATGCACCACTTGCTCCTAGCTGGCACTCCCATTTTACAGTCCAGGAAGCCACGGTCCAGGGGTGGGGTGAGGTCACTTGCCCCGTGCTACATTGTGGTGAGTGATGGACTTGTAAACTGGCAACCTGCACTCAACTCAGCCCTCCCAGGGAGACACCCAGCTGGTCCCACTGCCTCAGTGATTTTCTGTGCAACCTTGGCGAGTCCCATAACACCTCTGGGCCTCCACCAGAGCCACATCGGGCCATGGAGAGCCTCCCTTCTCTGCCCCCACGCTGCAGCCACAGACCCTTCCGGAGACCCCTGAGCGGCCTTCTGCAGGGTGGTGGCCAGCACAGCCTCTAGCCCCGAGACCTGCAGCCAGGAGACCCCCAAGGGGCCTTGAGAAGCCAGCACAGCAGTGACCAGACCGCCTGGGATGCAGTGAGCAATTAGGAACTTCCTAACTTCCTCTCAGAGCCAGAGGTGCTGGGGGTGGGGAGCCGGTGGGTGGGAGCAGGAGGAGGAAACTTGGTCAGCTGGGCCTGCGGAGGCTGCTGACCATTTGAGCAGCCCCAGCACATTCCTCCCCTGAGCCAGGAGGAAGGGGGCCTCTAATTAATGCCCTGTCCCTCCGAGCTGCAAGACCTGAAGCTGTCAACAAAGGAGGGTTAAGTGGAAACTCCTTTTTTCTTTAAGTTTGATAACAAAAACTACTTATCTAATGGGCAAACAGGACTTTAAAAGGGGTGTTAGGTTAACCAGATGCAGGGCCAGGTAATTACTCCCAGGCCTGGGAGCCACAGATGAAAAGCTGCGGGTTGGACGGGAACTTGAAGCCACAGGCAAGACTGAGACAGAAGAAAGGACTTTTGCAGGAGGGCTGGAGGCCTCGCACAGCCCTGTGCAGAGGGAAAGAGCAAACCTCAGGCTCCTCTCCAGCTCTGCCGCCAACGTGCTGCGCGACCTAACCTCTCTGGTCTTCTGAGCACCTGAGTCTCTCTTCTCAACTCTCTTGGGAGCCAAGTCTGTGGTGTCCCTTGTTTTAGTCTCACCAACGGGGGTCTCTTTGGGGGATGACTGAGCCCAAGGCTGCTTGGCAGAAGGCAAAGGGAAGCGCAGGAAAACAAACGCACAGGGACCAGGGATCAGGGACCAGGGCCATGCTGGCCATTTGTGTTCACAGAAACACTTGCTCATTCCAAGAAGTGAACGGATTCTTCTAGGGCTTCAGCTCTCCTGGTACCCCCAGACAGCAAATGGCCCCCTCGGCGCCCTGGCATCCCCACGGGAGGCTCTGGGCACCCTGGGCGGGGGCGGCCCATTGGTACTGCAGCTCCTCTGCCCAGTGCAGCGCTCGCTACCCTCTGGTGGCAGGAATGCGGGCGTCACCAGGCAGCACAGGGGTCCCCGAGTTACAGGACAGGGTCAGCAAACTGGCCAACCCACAGTCCCGGGGCCACTTTCTCCCTTTTAATTTTTTCAAAGCCATCCTGCCTACAATGAGAGGCTCAGCTACGGGTTTGGAGCATCACTCATTTTTGTTTTGTTTTAGTTTTTTAAAATAGGATCTGGCTATGTAACCAATGCTGGCCTTGAACTCCCAGTGATCCTCCTGTCTCAGCCTCCTGAGTTCCCATCATTGCAGTCAAGATTGTCAAACACTGCCCTCGCCCTAGCAATCTCCTTTTGCCCCTTCCCAGTCCTCTCACCCCAGGCCCGCTCACTACTGATTTTGTTTTCCTGGGGACAAACCCTTGAACATGCAGAGCATATCAGCACAGACTACTTGGTCTGTCTGAGAATTGCACGTCAGTGGTGACAACACATCTTCTCGGAGTGGCTTCTTTTGTTCAGCAAAGTGTACCTAAGATTCACTCACAGCGTTGCCTGTTTTGGGTCATTTGTTCTTCTCTAGGCTGAGTGGTGTCTGTGGATCAGTGTGCCTATTTTTATTTATCCTTTTTTTTTTTTTCCTGTTACTGGGATCCAACCCAAAGGTGCTTCATTACTGAGCAAAACTGGCTATTTTCTGTGTCTTATTAGAAACTGGGTCTAAATTGCCTGGTCTGGACTGGAAGTTGAGATCCTCCTGCCTCAGCCTCTTGAGTAGCTGTGACTACAAATGCCTGCCACCACACCTGAGTCGCTTTGCAGGCAGGGGTCATGACTAGAGCTGTTAGGAGCCTTCACCAAATCACAGCTACTTAGAACTAAAAGTAAAAGTACTGGCTTCATTGTGCAGATGGGAAAACTGAGGCCAGAGAAAGGTAGTGACCTACCAGGTCAGGGCCAAAGAACAGGACTTCCGATTCCCGGACCCAGCATCTGGCTGGGAAGCAGGCCAGGCTGAGCAGGGGGCAGCGAGCGAGAGTTTTGGTCAGTGCTCGGTCGGCTTTGATGTCACGCAGTTGGGTCTGACTTCCAGGGATTTGTTTGTGGTTAAAGAGCTGCTTCCTAATTAGGCTGATGACGGAGGAGATGGTGGACCGCAGACTAGAGTCCCGGGAGGGAAAGACTCTCCTGCACGAGGCTGTCCCTTTGTCCCCAGAGTGGTGACCAAGCGCGTGGACGAGAAGCGTGTGCTGGGGGGACTAGGGACAGGGAGCCTGGCCACCTCCTTCGTGGCAGCTTGGGAGCTGCATCATGTGACATCCCAGAACCCGTGTGGGCACAGGTGGAGGACGAGTCATCTGTCTCTTCCTTCTTTAGTTCCTCCTCCCAAATCCTGTGTCGCCTCCATGCCAGGTGAGGGGCCGCCCACGTGCATGTGTGACGCTTCACAGCTGGTGGGAGGCTGGGCCTGAGCGCTGTGACTCCGAGGCCCCGGCCTTCCCAGCGGAAAAGAGGACAAGGACTGATGACCCTGGTGCTGCACCCAGCGGATTTGCTGCTGGAGTTTCCAGAAAGTCCTCAGAGAGCTTGAGCGAGCAGGGCACTTGGTGGGGTCTTTTACTAATAGGAGACTGAGGCTCGGGTGCAGTCTGCAGCCCATCTGGGCTCCACATCCGGTCTCGGGTGGCCTCTGTCTGTCTCACTCTGAAACACTTGGCTCATCTAGAGCCTCAGGTTCTAGTCCCCACTCTGTCACCCTCTGCCGTGGGTCCTCAGGCAAGTCACTCTGCAAGCCCCGAGGTGCCAGTTTCATTAAGTTTTCCTGTGGTTTGTGGTGAAAGAAATGAAAGCATGGAAGAAAGTAAACAGCAGTAGAGCCCCGATAGAGAAGGCATGCCAGCCGGTGGACGCCCGAAGGGCTGGGTCCCCTGGAGAAGGTGACACGATGATGTCACAGTCTCCTCTAGGGTCCCACAGAGCCCTGTGTCTGTACCCACCATCCCTCCACTGCCCACAGGCTTGAGGACCTTGTGGTGCCCACTGCTGGGCAGCGTTCCTGGAGTGGGGACCTCAGGGGCTACTCGGAGCAAGCTTTGTTTCCTTCCTGCCCTGCACCAGGAGAGTGTACAGCAGCCTGGGTCCCCACCAACAACATGAGCCCCTGCGTGGGCCGAGGGCGGCACTGCATGGAAAGGTACCCCAGGAGGGAGAGGCCTGAGGGGACTTCCCTGGGACACGGTCTGTTGCCTGGAACTTTGGAGATTTGGCCAGGAGCCTAGGCTGCTGAGGTCTCTAGGCTGCTTCCCCAAAACATTTGCAGAGGCTGGTGCATACAAAGGCTGAGACAGGAGGATTGCCAACAGTTCTAGGCCAGCCAGGACCACATAGGTCCGGTCTTGTGGAGGAGGCCCAGGGTTGTTAGGACTAGTGGGGCCCTGGGAAGGCCCCTCACGCTGTGACCCTCACAGCCTCCACTGGCTGGCAGCCTTCACAGAGCCCCACTGTATACATGGACATAGTGACTCCTCTCCCAAGGGACTGGGAGCCCCCAGAGGGGGACAACAAGCTCCTCACAAACTCACAGAGTCCAGGATAGCAGTCATGGTTACACAGAGGGTCACTGAGGTCAGGCAGAGGAGGGGCCTGCTGAGTGTACAGCTTTAGGGAGCGGTATAGCCTGGGCCTCAATTTCCTCTTTTGTGAAATGGGTCAGGAAGATGCGGCTCATTGAAGGTGCCCCCAGCCACCTCTTACCAACTCAAGCAGGCTGAAAGGATTCTTAGGAGTTGAGATATCCAGGCTGGTGTGGCACTGCTCTATGCCTTGGGAATTCGGAGTGCTGGGGACAGGCCCAGTGCCTGCAGCCTGGTCACCTCTGCTGTCCCATACCCCTGGCTAAGGGGTGCCTGGGCTGTGGAGGGCAGGGACCACTGGCCAGAACCAGGTGGGCCCTGGGAGGAAACTGAGGCTGAGATAGAAAGTTGTGGTCCTGCTGCAAAAATCAGCAAAAAATGCTCCAAAAATGTGGAGTTGGGGCATATGGGGAGACTGAGGCTGAGGCAGGATCCTCAGGCAGCCTTACTTTGTGCAGCAAATGCGGTCTTGCCAGATGGCCAAGGGTGGTCTCCAAGACAAAAGTGATTCTTCTGCCTCAGCCTCCCGAGCGCTGGGACCACAGCTGTGGGCCAGGGCCAGCACAGCATTTGGGCCGCCAGGGACCCACATACCCCTGCGCTAGCTCTCTGTCCTAACTGCATCCTCCTGCGCTGTGCTGATCTAGCTTCGATCACACCCTGGTCAGTCGCACGCCCCGTGCAGCCTTGGGCACGCTGTGGAGGCCTTACAGGTGGAGGGACGGGCCTGGGGGTGACAGCAGGCAGCAGGCGCCTGGTGGGGTCACCGACTCCTCTTTGGGTGTGTGCGGGCGTGAAGCTTGTGCAGGAGGCCAGGGCACCCCGCAGGCCCAGCCCAGTAACCGGTGCCCTGTGCTTGCCCGCAGACGCCAGCATGTCTCCGGACGCCACCAAGCCGAGCCACTGGTGCAGCGTAGCGTACTGGGAGCACCGGACGCGCGTGGGCCGCCTCTACGCGGTGGCGGAGCAGGCCGTGAGCATCTTCTACGACCTACCTCAGGGCAGCGGCTTCTGCCTGGGCCAGCTCCACCTGGAGCCGCGCAGCGAGTCGGTGCGGCGCACGCGCAGCAAGATCGGCTTCGGCATCGTGCTCAGCCGGGAGCCCGACGGCGTGTGGGCCTACAACCGCGGCGAGCACCCCATCTTCGTCAACTCCCCGACGCTGGACGCGCCCGCGGGCGGAGGAGGCGGCCCTGGGGGCAGCCGCGCCCTGGTGGTGCGCAAAGTGCCCCCCGGCTACTCCATCAAGGCCTTCGACTTCGCGCGCTCCGACCTGCTGCAGCACGCGGCCGAGCCCGAGGCCGCCGACGGCCCCTACGACCCCAACAGCGTGCGCATCAGCTTCGCCAAGGGCTGGGGCCCCAGCTACTCCAGGCAGTTCATCACCTCCTGCCCCTGCTGGCTGGAGATCCTGCTCAACCACCACCGATAGCGCCTGCTCCCGGCCCGGACGCACCCCAGATATCACCTACCTAGATTTAATATAAAGTTTTATATATTATATGGAAATATATATTATACTTGTAATTATGGAGTCGTTTTTACAATGTAATTATTTATGTACGGTGCAATGTGTGTATATGGAGGAAGCAAGAAAGACGCACTTTGGCTTACAATTCTTTCAATACAGATATATTTTCTTTCTTTTCCTCTTTTCTCTTTTTGTTTTTGTTTTGTTTTGTGTTTAAGGAAATGATACAGCAGAACTAGGTGGAAAAGCCTGGGTTTGGTGTATAGTTTTTGAACTATTAATGCCCAGACAAAAAAGCTAATAACAGTCACTCGTTGATAATAAAATATTCGCATTATAGTTGGTTTTTTTTTTTTTTAACTGTCTTCTTTTTACAGAGAGGGACACTCAGGGCTCCTGTAGGTTTTCCGACCCGTCAGGCACCCTGAAACTTGACTTTTGTGGTTTCTGAATAAAGAACAGAGAGAATTTGCAGCTGTGGTGGTGCGGGGCTGTACCCCCAGCACTCAGGAGGCTGAGGTAGGGTTCAGGTGATGCTCCCAACTCCGCCTCCTGAGTAGTTGGGATTACGGGTATGCCCACCATACCCGGCTCTTCTGCCTGCTCTAGTGCTTAGTGATACAAATCAGCCCTGTGACAGCGCAGGGAGATGACACAGGAGTGGGGGGCAGAAGACAAGACCACCACAGCTTCCCGGGAATACAGCATATGGAGTTGTTCCCCGAGTCACAGAACGGCCCACCCTGCTCCTGGTATCCACTAGCAAGGTGTGCAGGGGCATTCTGGGTGTCCACAGAGCCACAGCAGGGTGCTCCCAGAGGCGGTCCTGCCAGATGCCTCTGCAGAAGCTATGCGCCCAGCGTGGGGTCAGCGAGGCAGAGGTAACAGAGGCTTTCAGACACACGAGCTCCAGAGCCAGGCTGTCGGGGCAAAGGTCCCAGCTCCACCACTCAGGGTGACCTGTGACATGGTTCCTGCCTCAGGAGCAGGTACTGTGCAGGTGGCAGCTGTCACTGATATGCAAGACTGGGAACCCCCACACGAGCCTGTGGAATAGAGCTGGCATTCTGCAGGGTGCAAGGAAGGCTGGTCCTTTCTGAATGGACTGGATAGGTGATTAGAGTACTGGGGACCCATCCTAGGGCCTCTGCACGGAGCTGCATCCCCAGCCCTTTTAAAAATTGTTTTTGAATTGTGAGACATGCTGTTGCTAAATCACCAAGTTGCCCAGGCTGGGTTAGAACTTGAGATCCTCCTGCCTCAGCCTCCTGGAGTCCTGGGATTACAGGTGTGTGCCACCACACTTAGCTGGGCTTTTCCTGGAGAGGCATCCAGGAAGGAGGATCAGGCTGAGGGCAGTGCCCTTAGCAGGTCACTACAGATCACAAACCCCCATGCCTTGGAATGGGTGTGAGGGCCTTGGCGATGGGTACCAGTGGCCTCCAGGAGCAGGGATGCACTGTCTGGACTCCTTCCTCAGGGGTCTTCGAGTCCAGTCCCAGTCCTGAGTCCCAGGACCCAGCTGAGTTTCAAAGTCACCAGTGGGGAGGAGCCACTGCCCCTGAGCAGTGTGGGGCGGTAGCTCTGCGGTTTCCCTGCCACCCAGGGCCCGGCTGACTCAGACTTCATGGAGACACTTTCTAAATAAGGCCTGTCCCTGGGGACCTGATCTCCACAGGGGATCCCACAGGGATCTGGAGAAGGGCTAATCTCTCCATCCCCTTCCTCGTCAAACCCTCCTGCAGCCTCTGCCTGCCTTCTCTTGGGGGTGTCTGGGGGCGGGGGGCAAGCTGGGGGAAAAGGATCCTGGGAGATTTTGTGTTCCTGTCTCATGAACCAACTTGAGGCCCAGAGAGGGAGTGTGAGTGGCCTGAGGTCACAGAGCAGGTACCCAGGATATTCACCTCTGAGGTCTTCCTGGTGCTGCACACCCCCACCCGGCCCTGCAGTCTCCCAGCCCACAGAGCTGCCTTGTTCTAGTCAGACCTTGCCATTTCCCAACTGTGTGGTCTTGGGTGAATTATTTGTTATCTGTTAGCTCCCTGTAAGAGAGACTCCTGAGTCAAGTTGTGTACATGCTGGTGACATGGCCCCAAGTTCCTGCCAGTTGGCTCTCAGAGATGTCAAGTAATCAGTGAGGACTCAACTTCAGATCCAGAAACTTGTGGGTGGCTTTGGGCAGTCACCCTGCCTGTGTGAACCCATTTCCTTTGCTGGTAAGTAGAGGTCATGACTTCGGTGACATCTCTGTTCCAGGATACCAGAAACCCCTATGGCTCCTGCCCCTTCTATAATTTTTTCCATGCAGAGCGACTGTCCCCTCTGCCACCAAGCTGGGGTGATGCCTGCAGCCTCCACCCAGGGCCCCCATAGACCCCACCTCTGCCCTTCTCGGCTCGGCCTCTGCTGAGTACTCTGGGATGCCCCTTGCCCAGCCATCCCACCCCAGCTCTGACCTCGCTGGTGACCCCTCCTATCCCTCTCAGGCACAGAGCAGGGGCTCCCGGATGTTTGTGGAAGGAGATGATTGTGGAGGTGTGAGTGTGGGTGTTGTGTAAACTCCAGAATGGAGCAGGCAAGGGGATAAGGGGGCTGTTTATTACTGTCCTGTGTCTCTAAGGCAGCTCCCAGCTGGTGGCTCCCTCGGTCCCTGGGAATGCTTAGGCCTCCCCTGTTTCTGGGGCTCCAGCTGTGAGACTCCCAGGAATCTGTGGGACAGGAATGACTTATACAGACCCGGGTGACTCTGGGTGCATGTGCTCCATCAGTTGTCATGGCACTGAGGCCCAGAGAGGGCAGGCCGCTCACCCGTGTCACACAGCAAGGCAGTGGGACCTGGAGACCACAGGTTATGTTGCGTAATATGGGTTCAGAGCCGGCCCTAAGCACAGCCCCAGAGGCTTTAGCAAGAAAGAGACAGGCAAGGAACGAGGGAGGGCAGGCTGTAGGTCTGCATCATGGTAGAATGTCTAGTGTAAAATTTAACTTTGTAATTTTCTAATAAAGCATATTGTTTCATTCAGATAGTTTTAAACCACTGTGGAGGCACAGTGCTGTAACCCGAGCACCTGAGTGGTGGAGGCGGGAGAGTCTCCATGAGTTAGAGGCCAGCCTGGGCTACACTGTGAATTCAGGTCCTGCCTGGACTATATAGGGAGACCCTGTGTCAAAAGAATAAATAGTTGATAGATAGGTAAATAGTCAGGCCCCTGCCTGGACTATATAGGGAGACCCTGTGTCAAAAGAATAAATAGTTGATAGATAGGTAAATAGTCAGAACTATAGCTTATATCTAATGTCCCCCTAAAGCCCCATGTGCTCAGAGGTGGGAAGTGACTGAATCAAAGGTGTGTGATGGGGTATGTGTTGTACCAACCAGTACATGTTCCGTCCCAGGGGGATACAGGGAGAGGAGGAGGGCTCCTTGCTTCCTGCCTGCTCTGCTGTGGACTGTCTCTCCTCTGCAGTGGCCCTCTGCCAAGTCACCTGGAGCCAGTCAACTGTGGGCTGAAGCCTCTGCAAACTGTGAGCAAAAATAAACCTTTCCTTTTAAAGTATGGGTGCCAGGGACTGTGTCCCGGCAAGGAGAAAGTAACTAAGTGATTAAGACAGCCGGTTTTAGGGACTTCTCTGGGAGTACCAATATCTTTCTAACAGGAGCAATTTCATTGCCAGGCAGAAGCCTTAGCTTATGGCAGGAAAGCCTGGGGTTTTTATCAGCTGGGCTGTTTCTGTGCTAATGTTGTGACTCCTTTCTCAAGTCTTCCCACTTTTTTTGAATTGTTTTAGAGACCTGCTCAAGGGGCTGGGGTTTAGCTTGGTGGTATAAGCACCCAGAAAGTGTGAGGTTGTGAGTCCAATCTCTGGCACCAAAAAAAAAAAAAAAAAGACCTGTTCAAAATTTCTTTCTCCTGATTGTACTTTGACCTTGTGCCCTTTTATTTCTTTTTTTAACTTGCTCTCTTTGAGGCTGTAGTCAGGAAGCCTGGAAGCCCCCAGGGCATCAGCCCACCTGCTTCGTTAGCAGCTATCTTTTTCTTTTTTTCTTTTTTTGCCTTAATTTCATTGAGAGGTTCTTGCTTTATTTTTTGAGACAGGGTCTCACTAATAATGCTCAGGGTGGCTTTGAACACAGTACGTAGCCCAGGCTGGCCTCATTAAACTCCTGGAGGATCCACCTGTCTCGGCCTCCTGAGTGCTGAGATCAGAGGCATGAGCCACCACCTGGGGCTTGCAGCCACCCCTTGAATAGTGCCCCTCCCACCCTTGTTCCCTTTTCTCCTCTATAGAATGAACAAGTGAGTTGCTGACCACAGTGATGACTATTTTGACTTTACAAATTCCCTCTTTTATTCTCTCTAAAATCCTAATCAATGTCAAACCATATTAGTTTCCCAGGATGCCGAGTGGTCCTGGGTCAGTGTAGTGGCTGCTGGGTTCTCTTCACTCTGGTGTTGGGGGACTCAGGGGATCACAACTGTGAGGATTGGACGGACCACTTAGTCTCTTTGAGGCTGTAGTCAGGGTGAACGGAAGCCTGGAAGCCCACAAGGCATCAGCCCAGCGTGCAGCAGCTCCCGATGAGGTTGGTCCGTCCTCATGTCTGCTCTGCCTGCTTGAGTCCCAGCTGGGTGCTCCTTGGGGGAAGGGCTCTGGCCAGCCTGGCCTGGCCCAAGCAGGAGATGTCATTAGGCTTCTGCAACATACTCTAGACCCTAGTGGGTGGGACCAAGCAACGAGAAACCAAAGGTTTCTGGAGTGAGCCTGGTGTTGGCTTTTCTTTGGCTGGGACGAGAGGAGACACAGGGAGTGGGCACCACAGGGCCATGGATGCTCTGCTGGGCAGAGCTGCATTCCTGAGCTGCCACTGCTAGAGGGAACCACTGTTTACAGCAAGTTTTGTCAAATAAAGCACATGACAGCGTGTCCCCATCCACCCAACTCACCAGATCTCATACCGGGTGACGTCTGGCTCTTCCCCAAAGTCAAAATGACCAGGACAGGCAAACAGCTTGGATCGATTCAGGACACTGAGGCAGCCCAACAGCACAACTGAAGACACTTCCCAGAGAGGACGCCCAGAACTGCTCAGAAAGTGGCCCGAGTGATGGGATGAACATCTTTGAAGCAAGGGAGAGAATTCTGAGGAGGATTCACAACAATGCGTCTTTTACTGTAATACATTTTTAAAAAATTTTTAAGCATTCACTGTATTTTTATTATTTTGTTAAAATCATACTGTTTTCTTTCTTGCAAAGAAGGTAAAATCCCGGACTTTTCAGGGCCTGTTTTGGTGACGGGAGCGCCAGTAGAGGGACCATGGTCAGGTCCAAGTCCTC